GCACACACTTCGCTGGAACCCAGAGAGGACCTGTGGGCGACAAAACAGAAGCATACCCCCTCCCCCAGGTCAACAAGGGGACCGGGCCCAACCAAGTGCGGTCTGGCAGAGCCCTGTAGAAAACTTCAGGCTAAGGGAGCGGTGGCCGGCTGCGACAGTGCCAGTCATAGGCTGACGAAGAGACAGCTCCAGGGAGCTGAGAAAAATTTAAATGATTATAAGTGAATAAGACCAGATGTACTTGTTGCAGGATCCAGGCCTGATTTGGGACACGACCACCTTTCACCCCTTTTAAATGTTTTTCTAAAATAGTTTTGAAGGAGCGATTGGTCCGCTCCACCACGGCCTGTCCTGTAGAGTTGTAGGGGATCCCGTGGGAGAGAGCAATGTCCCAACAGGTGCAAAATTGCTGGAAGGCCTGGGAGGTATAGGCAGGGGCGTTATCAGTTTTCAACCTGGCCGGACGGCCCAGGGCTGCAAAAGCGGCAATACAGTGGGAAATGACATGAGCAGTTGTTTCACCATGCAAAGGGATAGCCCAAAGCGCACCAGAGAAAGTGTCAACAGAAACATGCACATATTTCCAAGGGGCTAAGGTAGGAACATGAGTAACATCCATTTGCCAAAGTTCACAAGGACCCAGGCCATGAGGATTGACGCCTCCCTCAGGGCAGTGGGAAAAACCTGCACAATGGGGGCAGGAAGCCACAATGGCCTGGGCCTCCCCCAAAGGAATACAAAACTGTGCAACTAAGCCACGGGAGTTTTGATGAAAGAACTGATGGCTCTCCACAGGATTGGTGAAGAGGCCATGCACTGCCTGATCAGCCCTGGCATTCCCCTCTGCTAAGGGGCCAGGGAGGCCAGAATGGCTGCGGATATGGGCCACATAGTAAGGGTGCTCCCGGGCTTGCAAGAGTTGTTATAGGGTAAGGAAAAGCGCCATGAGGTTAGCATCCACTCTAGGGGCAACATAAGCCCCGGGGAGGCTAGAAATTAACTGGACTACATATTGAGTGTCAGCAATCAAATTGAAAGGAGAAGTAGCCAAAATCTGAAAAGCTAAAATAGCAGCAGCAAGCTCAGCTCGTTGCGGGGTTGCCTGGGGTGCAGTATATTGGGTTTGCCACACCCTGGCTTGTTGATATACAATAGCACCGCGCTGCCTCCCTCCATCAGAAAAAACCGTGGGGGCAGCTGATAGGGGCTGTGAGCGGTCTAAGTGGCGGAGAGAGTGTGGAACGGACTGTAATAAGGTTTAACATCCCTTGGGGTAATACCTTCCATTGGATTGAAGCACTTACCCTGGGGCTTATTGCCTTGTTGTATAGCTGCTGCCAACAGGTTCGCCTGGTAGGACTGAGTACCCACTTCCTGGCACACTTTAAGCATATCAGAAAGAGGGATCCTTGCCCAATCCAGTTATTAAACGGCGACACTCCTGAGTAGCATTCTCTTTAGCTAACTTCTTCACGAGTTCTACCTGAGCCTCTTCATTATCAATTTGATGCTTTAAAGCCTCCTGTAGTCTATTAATGAACTCAATGTAGGGCTCAGTGGCTTTTTGTCGAATACTAGAAAAAGTCTGTACTGGCTTGCCAGAGGCTGGGACTCGCTGAAAAGCTCGAAAGGCACACCCAGAAGAAACTTCTAGGGTAGCTGCGGGCAGGACTATCTGCTGAATGGGCTGAGCCAAAGGCTCCATAACCATAAAGTTGTTCTGCTGTATAAGCACCATTAGAGGCTTACCCCCGGATGTAACATTGTTGTTGGAACTCACTATCCCACACTACATACTGAGCCGGGGACAAAAGCATAGGGACATGTAGTTTTCCAGTCCTCTGGGACTAGCATGTGATTCCTCATTATAGCCTCCAACATCCCCATGTCTCGAATTCCCTTTTGCAATTCTGTTAAAATGGGGTAAGAAAGGGGTTTGTATTCCACTATGTTATTACCAGCATTATCTTGGTCTCCGGTGAGATGCACCGGACACACAGATAACATTTCAGAAATCTCTTTAATTTCCTCTAAGGAAGGGTTCTGATTCTTTAAGTGGTCCATAAGAACACTTCGCGGAGTGAGGTGTGAGGACGGATGATGCTTATCTGGCGGATCCACTGGCGACGGCTTTTGAGGCGTCGAGGGTAAATACTCTAAGGGTGTTGGTGCTTTTGGATATTCTGTTGGGTAAGGGACGCAGAAGACACAGACCGGCTGGCCTTCTGGGCTAGGAACTGTAGTTCTTTCAAATGTTTCTGCTGCGGCAGTATTAATCTTCCACCCATACTCATCAATGAAGGGGTCGTGAAAACACGCCGAGGAGTGCACTCAGGGGCCTATGCCAGGCGTTGGTGAGATGGAGCTTTTCCTGGAGAGGCTCCCTGTTCGGGTGCCACTTGAAGGCTTGAGGGTTCAAGAATGACACAAGACACAGCTCTGCAGAATCTGTCTGACCCAACCTGGACCAGCAGCGTTTTATTAAAACTTCCCCCCTCCTTCCTTTCCCCCTACATACAGTGAACTAAACTAACAGGAATGTGGTTTGCAGACAGCCCACCTCTTATCTGCACTCCACCGTCTTCTCATGGTGAGCTCAGCAGAGCTCAGCAGATGTTTACCGGTACCCAGCACACTAATTCCCTTATCTCCCTGTGAAGACATAAATCTCTGGGCATGCCTCCAGAGAGTGCCGTCCCCATGGGTGTCATACAGTGGCCAAAACCCAGGTGCCATCAGGAGGTCCACCAGAACTCCAGAAGCCCTCCCAATGTTGCCCCCCAAAGAAAAGCTGGGGATGGGATAATTTCTGCTACTTGAGCCGAGAATCTGAACACTGGACACTCTCTGTCTCTTTCATACACACAAAGATTAGCCCAATGCAGTCTCTATGAATAATTGTGCAGCTACCAGGTAAAATACAATTCATGAACTAAACACTATGAGGAAGACAACAGGATAAGAGAGATTTCATTGAGATGCAAGTCCAAAACACGTGTGGGGCTCTTGGGTATCTGCTGCCCATCCCTCTGTTGGCCCAGCTCTCTGCACAAAAAGGGGAGCCAGTTCTCAGCTATTGTGTTCCTCCTCCTCTTCCCCTGCTCTCTCCACCAGTGTCCTCCTTAGCCTGCTTCCCATCCATTGGTTAAAGCAGCCTGGCTAATCATGCATGTCGTAGGGAATCCCCAAATTCTTTTAAGAACCATTCTCTTTGCCTCCAAGGCCTGGCCTCTACTCCCTTGGGCGTTTGCAGGATGCTGCTCATCAGTTACAGGAGGAGCTGCCAAACCTCCTCGTTTCCTGGCATCTCCAGATAAATATGGACAACATGGATAAATGCTCTGTTGCTGCTTAGTGAAGGATAAAGCAATTTACAGAGACTACCAAAGCATAAGTATATTTTCCTGGGGGTAAGCCTCATGAATAAACCTGAATCAGATTCTAGTTAGACCTGCTGAGGAATGCTCTCTTGGTTTACTGTTTTGTTGCTTAAATAATGCATTATGCAAGAAAATATTTAGACAGTGGACAGACTGTGTAACAGAGATTGAAATCTCTCACTTTCAGTGGAAAGGCAGCTTAATCTCCAGTAATTTATAACCAAACTCTTCGCCCTCCAAAATGTGGGGATTATGCTAATCTACCATTATAGGCCAATGTCTACTTTCTCTAATGCTTTGTAGATCCGTATTTGAGCCAATCTATTTTGTGATTCTTTTGAAGTAAACTTTAAGCTTCAGCTCCACTTCTGGTTATAAGACATCAGTGCATCTGGGGTATGTTCTTATCTAAAAATTACAGGAATCTGATCAAACCAATGGCAAATAACAGGATAGGTTACCTCCAGCCCCTTGACATACAGAAATTGATTTCAGACTACTGTCTAGCTGATTGGGCTGCAAGCTTGAATTTTGAGGGCTTAAGCAACAAAGCCTGGGAACAGATACACATGTGAGGGATTTTAGCAAAGCACAGAAGGAAGGTGAATATTCCACTTGATTATCAGTAGCATTCAGAGGACTTAACTGTATACCTGCATATAATTAAGCAAAATGCTGCCTAAATGAAATAGTATGCAGTATTAAGGAGGTTTAAATGAATAAGGTAAAAAGCAGCCTTGAGAAAAAGATTCTACTAGTATTAAGATAGGTTAAAAGCTCAAATCTATTTGCAGATAAATTCTGTTTGTAGGCACCACTGTTTGTGAAATTCCCAGGCTTCAAAATGATACTGTGAAATTAAAGCCTGCTTTCAAGAAAGTGAAAGGCTGTTGAATAATGTAGGTGTCAGGGCCAACTCTCAAAACAATATTGTTTTCTAACAATTTTGAACATGTACAGCCCCGGTCTTGCAGAAGCTTCAGCTCTGTTCCAGCATAGCATGTGCAGAGCCTTTTTAATAAAACAGGAAAACTCCTTTCAATCAGTTGTTTGACAGGGAAAGGAACTGAATCCTATTAATAACCATGTGGCATGCCTTAAAATGAATTAAAAATGTAAATAAGCTTTCTTTTGCATGCATATTATATATTATTTATCCACAATAAGAACTATACCTCACTGAGGCATTGCAAAGCAAAGCTAACATTTTAATACTATAAATATTCTATTGCAAAGTATATTACTCCTATGTATGCACAGAAACAAAAGTAATAGATTAGTTTTAATGGTAAGTGCAAGTGTAAAAGTATGCAGTAACAATGTAACAAAATTTCCTGTTACAAAGTTCAGTTAAGCGACCCATTCCAAAAATTAGAAGCCAGGGTTTTCATGCTGACCATAAGGTTCCTCTTCTTTCCCATGAATGTTGGGAGAAAAAAATATAATGAACCTCCCCTCACCCAAGCCAACAGAAATCCAGAAGAATTAAATTATGCAAAAATTCAATTTTTGCTTGGTACACGTTTCTTTTCTTCAGCTTTAGCTAATTTTAGTTTGATATACTACCTCCAGCCTAGTTCAAGCCCTAATCTAGGAAGCATAAAACAGTTTTCTTAGAGACCTGCTGCTGCCAACTCCAAAAGTTACTGGTGTTTTGGAATTATAAGATTTCTCAACATATCAAAAGAATTGCCATCTGGGTGCACAGTCAGCACATCTTTGCCTTCCTCCTGAACCTGAAGGAATCCAGAATCATCTATTCCAACGATCCAGGCTAATGGTCCAGCATCATTTTTCAAATGGACTTGCTTACCGCTGCAAATGAAATGCAAGAATTACTCAATAAATTGAAAATTATCAAGTCCCTAGTCATAGTAGTTGTAATCTACCCTCCTCCATTTTTAAACTTGATATCTGATTATTCTGATTATCTAGATTTACAGCCAAGCAATCGTATTTTAAACATTTTGCCAAGAAACAAATAATCACCCACCACTATTTTTGCATGTAATGTAAGCAAGGGCAGACAGGCCAGTGCCACAAGCATCTTACACATCTGATCAGATAGTTCCTTTAGTATCTTCTATGAAACTCAAGTAATCTACCTTGTATGAGAGAGAATTCTTATGTAAGAATACTGATGCTGGATTAGACCAATGGTCCATCTGATTCAGCATCTTACTTTCCAATAGCAGCCAGTTAAGTGCCACATGTATATTCAATGTAGGTTACACACAGTAGAGCTAATTTAACAGACTACCTTGATAATCAGTTTTACTAGGACCTTCTAGTTTCCTACTTTTTTTGACTGCAGTAGAATTTTTTAAAAACTTCATAGTTTAAAAATACTCTGCTTTCAGCATTTCCGAATAAGATAGGTTGATATTTAGCTTTAAGAAACAACAACAAACTTTCTGGCAGATTTTAATACATGCATATTGAACTATAAGATTATGTTAAACATGCCTAAGCATGAACAAATACTATTGATAAATACTAAAAATTAGCTTGTTGCATTTAAAAGCTTGTTAAATCAGTATAGTTTTAAGATCCTGATGTGCCATCCTTCAAAGATAGATTGGTTTCGGTTTCTATGAAGCAATTCAGAATAGCTTAGGATATTAAACAGACATATTTCCTGACCTGTGTATCCAGTATTTATAATACAGGGGAAGAACCCCATTAGGTCCCTTCTCTTGAAAGGTGTTGATCAGCCTTTCCAGCACTGTTACGCTTCTTGCAATCAGGCAGTCGGCACTTAAGGGCTTTAATTGTGTATTCTTTGTTTTATTGTGCTCCATAATGAGATCATTGATGCAAATAGTAGGATTGCTGTTATTCACATTAAATCCACAGCCTGAGGAAGAAACACTAGTCAAAAGCAGAACATGAAATACTCCAGTTATCTGCAAAAATGTCTTCTTTTTTATAGAAGGCAAACCTGTTCATCTACACAGCTGTGAAAAACATAGGTTTCCAGAAGAGATTTGTTTTTGAGTGTGGAGACAACCCCCCGGGTTTTAAACGTGTGGGTTTTGTTTCTCTCCGGAAGTGGCAGGCAGACAGTTCAATTGCCTGCCAGAGTACATCTATATATATGCTAATGACCCTGTTAGGAAAACCAACTAAGGAATTGAATGCTAGGAAGTCTCCAGGCGATTCCTTGGCCCGCCGGGGCCTCGAGTGCGCGGAGGGAGGGCCGAGGAAAGGGGTCCAGGGAAGGAGACGTGGGCCCGCAGCCGGCTGGCCGAGCTGCCGCCCATTGCAGGGAGAGGGACGAGCTTGGTCCGCTTGCCCCGCTCGGCCGGGGGTGGCAGTGGGAGCGGTTGACCCAGGTGCCTTGACCCGCCGAGGCCTCGACCCCATGGGGGGGAGTGTGGAATGCTTCCTCAAGGTGGGGAGGGGCCAGGAAGTGGATGGCGCCCTGCGCCCGGCCTCACACCCATTGTGGGGAGAGGGGCAAGCCTGGCTGTATAGAAAAATTGATTTCTATAGGTTTCATGTCTCCCCTGGAATGCCTCTTGCTGATACCCTGCTGTGTTGATTTCCTATTGAAGCCATATGGCCTCAATAGCCTGCCATATAACCCTACATTCTTCACACTTCAATGCTGGCAGAGAACAGATGGCCTAGCAAACAGGCAAAAACACCCGTACGCCATGGGGTGGTTGGAATTTGGGGACCACATGACTGCAGGTGTGGCCTTCAGGAGTACTGACCATTCAAATGTTGTCCCCATGGCAACCCAACAATTGGACACTCCCATGTCTACTCCAATTGGCCCCTGGCCAGGGCTAGTTTGGAGACTGAGATTGCCCTATATCTGGTCAAACCCTATGGAGAGAACCCTCTCTTCTGTTCCTGCTATCTCTGCTGCTTTGTGGACTTACCCCTGAAATGCTCTTTTTTTTTGTAATTAATTTTTATTGGCATATTAACAACAGAGTATATCTAGATAATACATGCTACATTTTACAATTCATTGAACATAGCTGTTTATGGTTAACAGTTGATAGTACGTTTCCCTTGGTGAGTTGCTAACAATACTTAATATGAGTGTTGTTCGGAGTCTAAGTGCGGGGTATGGTCCTATTAGTACACCTTGTCCCTTCATGTGTCTCACACGTGTAGCCACTCGTGATATGCCATGTTACTTGGGAGAATTCCTCCCATTGACAGATAGTGTAGTATCGGTGACCAAGTTTTCACATATCTCATATGTGTAGCTATGCCTGTCTGTTGCGTTCTTTGTACTGAATCCGCGATTTTGGCCATAACGAACTGTTGCCATAGTTTATCATGCCATTTTGCCATCGAGGGCGGTTAGTGATTTCCATCCTTCCGCTATCGTCAACTTAGCAGTCGCTGAAATGCTCTTGTCCTGCCATGTGGTCTGTGGGAGAACAAAGGATCCCCTTGTGCCTTAGAGCACATGAAGGCAAGGAGGGGATGTTCCTCCTCAAACCCCCTTGGGGGTTCCTGGACTATTCCAATGGACAATATTGAACTCTTGGATGCTACCCTGATGTTGGTAAATATGCTTCTTACTGTTTAGTTAAGGCAAAACTTGCCTAGGCTTGTTATTTTGAAATCCTTATTAGTCTGTGCTAAGTTCTCTACTGAATAAACCTTATTCTTGTTTATAACTAGTGTCTGTTTTGATGTGTAACTGAATTCCAAGCTAAATCTTGCAGCCTAAACTGCTGACCAATTGCGCTACCTTGGTAAGATTAACTGCGCAGCTCTGGATTGAGTTGCTAATGTGTTAAGTCCCAGAGGCCAGTTAAGAGTCTGAACCTTGCTCTTGGGCTGGAAAGGGACCCTAGTTGAAAAAGGTTCTGGTGGCTATTGTCTTGAAATCCAGAGAACCTACATCTCTGGGTGATTGAGTAATGTATTGAGCCAGTGTAGAGTTCTTTCCCTCATCCCTCAACTGGCCTGGGGGGCAGAATCTATACACTGGCCAGCTTCCTCCGCCAGCACCTCGATTGGGCGGGAATGCTGGGGGGACAGACAAGGCCGGGCGGCTTGGCCTGCTGGTACCTCGACTGCACGGCAGGAGGGCAGAGGAGAGGGGGCTGGGGAAGGAGACAAGGGCCTGCAGCCGCCCACCCAAGCTGCTGCCCACTGCAGGGTGATGTACGAGCCCGGTCCACTTGCCCTGCTGGGGCCTCGCTCGGCTGGGGGTCTTGGCGGGAGCGGCCAACCCAGGCGCCTTGACCCGCTGGGGCTTCAACCCTGCGAGGGGGAATGTGGACTGTTTCCCCAAGTTGGGGGCGGGGCGGGAAGTGGACGGTGCCCTGTGCCCGGCTCACGCCCATTGTGGGGAGAGGGGCTAGCCTGGCTGAATTCCCCTGCTGGCGTCTCGAGCGGGCGGGGGTGCCAGGGGGAGGGGCGAGGCCAGGTGCCTTGGCCTGCCAGAGCCTTGACCATGTGGGGCAGGACGGCCAGCTTCGCGATGGGGGGCCCAGATGGAGACGGTGACCCGCACCCGTGGCCAGGCTAGCGCCCTGTTGTCTTCAGTTCCACAACGGGCATTCTTCCTAGTATGTTTATATAGGTCATCTATATATGTATATATAGGCTTAGTATGTATATATAGGCCATCTTAGTGTGTGTGTCTGTCTTTCCCTGAGACAACCAGTCCACAGGATTAAACAAACAAGGAGTGAACTTGCAGGGAGGGCGGTATAAAAGCCTAATATAATAAATAAATAAATAATTTCTGATTTGAACATAACAGTGGTGTAGATCAGGTAGAAGTTATAGTTTCTTTTCAATTGAATTTTTGAACTATTTCCCTATTCCAGCATGGGGGATCCTTTGTTACAAATTGACCATTTTTCAGACAGCTTTAAGTTTCTCTTCACGACTTCACTCAGCCAGACTCATTCTCATTGGAACTAATGGCTCTTTTCCACAGTCTCCCTCGTCAACATTCCATCAACTCCCATTGGCTGCTCTTAGGGAGAGGCGGAACAGCTTCATTTAACACAAGGACATTTTTATGCAGCATACTTGCCTAAAGAAGTATTACGGGACAAAAACATTACTATCTGTAGATAGGTCAGTTATTTCTTATGGACATGGAAACTCTAAGGTGCACATGCTGCACCTGCAAGAACTGTCCTAACAATTTCAATGGAACAAGCAAATCTGCATGCACATTCTTTGCTCTGCATGTGTGGGTCTGCTCTAGTTGCTGAAATTAATGGGGTATTTCATGCATATACTAGCTCTGTGCACCCACTGGAATTCATACAGAGCACTGGCACATGAGTTTTACTTCAACTCATTAAAACATGTTTAATAAATAACTGGATTCACAGAAAAGACCAAACAATTCCACCATCAAGCCAACTTTTAGATCTCTTAGGCTCTCTTGCCTAAGATCCTTTTCAAAGCCTCATTCTCACACTGCTCTCCAGAAATGAATAATATGGTTGGCAAAAAGTAACTGTTTGAATAAAGCTCTCAAAACTGTCATAATCTTGGCTTTCACACAAATCTTGAATTATTTGTTTATATTTCATTCCTTTTCCAAACATATAGTTTTTCTGCTCTCGAGGCAGATGATGGCAGATCCAGATTTGCCAAATGTATTCAAGGCTCAGCTCCCTACAGAGGAAGCTTTTGGTACCATTACTATAATCATTTATCACTGAAGTGCCTATTGGGAGGGAAGGTGGCATGGCATAGCCCAGTCTTGTCAGATCTTGGCAGCTAACCAGAGTTGGTACTTGGATGGGAGACCAGCAAGGAAAACTCTGTAGAGGAAGGCAATGGCAAACCATTTCTGCTTCTCACCTGCCTTGAAAGCCTTTTGCTGGGGAAGCCATAAGTTGACTGTGACTTGACAGCACTTGCATACATTAAAGGGCCAATTACATATGGAATTAATGAGTTGGCAGTATTTATAAATTGACTTTAGGAGGATTAGTCACACTTTACTTAAAAAAGGTAAAGTAATTATTCTAATCAATGTTGTCATAAAAACCCTCCGTTAGTACTACACACAGGTTAACAGTGTTGTGTGAAAGTTCTTATGAAGATGCATTGAAAGAAATATAACATATGAACAAAACAACAACAAAAACATATAAATGATCGTGAGAATGTACCAGTCAGTGTAAAGAAGGGGAATCAGCAATATCAATTAGCAAATTGTTGCTAAAAGTCAGTATTCTCCCACTAAAAGTCTAAAAGTCAATATTCTCCCACTAAAAGTCTAAAAGTCAATATTCTCCCACACAAGATCTTCAACGAGAATCCAAAGAGCCAAATTAGTGAACAGCCAAATTAGAATTCATTAAGATGTTCAATACTAGCCCTCTTCCATAGATCTTGACAGCAACATGGCATTTCTGACTTAATATAGGTGCTAAATATCATAGCTAAACCTGGGACTCCTCATATTTTTACAGGTGTTAACTAGATTAGCAAACCCAACATAGTTCACTGTATTTTTTTTCTCAAGCAGATTTAAATTTTAACCTGTACTTTCCTTGCTTAGAGTTGAATCTATACTCAACTAGAATGTTATAGCAGTTAGAGTAATGGACTAGGAACTAGGAGACACAGTTTCAAATCTCCAAGCTGTCATGGAAGTTTGTTGGTTGACCTTGGGTCAGTTACTTTCTCTTTGCTTAACCTACATCACAGGGTTCTTGTTGTGGGGATAAAATTGAAAAGGGGGAAAAGATATTGTAAGCCACTTTGGGTTCCCATTGGGGAAAAAGCAGGATGTAAATATCTAAATAAAAATATTTTTCCAGTATATCAGCAGGTGAGAGTGGTACTTACTCACTGTGACAGAATTTATTATTCCTTTGCTTGGAGATTGTTTTATCTGTGTACTGCAATGTAATGTCACATACATATACCATGAAAAACTGGGCCTTCTGATCTCTCTTTGTCACAACTGCATTTCTTCTAATCCTTTGGTCAGTGATTTACACCTGAAGGATTTACAACAGGTCTCTCTTTGTAATAATTCCCCCGCACCTGCTGTTCTGTTTGTAGCTCTGGATATACATGGATACCAAATGAGTGTGCACATCATACAGATAATGAAGTAAGTTCAGACTTGCAAAATCTTGTGCTGAAATAAATTGTGTTAGTATTTAAGATACCATTGGAGTAATGTTTATTTTTTTCTGAAACAGACTAATATGATTACTACTCTGGAATTACAAAATCCAAAAGGGGCTTCAAACCAGAGAAAGGACAAGAATATTTGACATAATTTATGTTCTTACCAATAAGTATGTGGAATGTAGTTCCTGTTAGTGTGGAATTTATTAAAACTCCACCAAGCTTCATAAGATCACTGTAGTAGATATCATTCGGCCACTTTACCCGCAGATCAATATCCTAGGGAAACAAATGCGCCTGTTGGTAGTCATATATTATTGCATTTAAAAAGTATCCATCGGTGCAGGGCTCAGTCTTTGCCCAATACTTTCAGTTTTCACATTATTTCTAACGTAGAACAGATATTAATGAAAGTTTTACAGCTTCATGGTCCCTCAAAGTTCTGTTTTTTTAAAGAAACCAAGAAGGGTAAATCTATGTCACAAACATATTTTTAAGATAACTTGTTCTAAATATGTATAGGAATATGTAGATTGATAAGCAACTACTAGAATAAAAAATGAAGGTTAAAGTAATTCTACTCTCTAACATAAAAACAAATAAAATATTAAGCAGAGCCAAAAGTACCACTTCATATTGAAGGCACTAATGAAACTTCTGAACACTAGTCCAACACAATTAATGTATGTTAAATGCAGATAATATAATGAGAACCTGATAGTGGTATTTCTAGAAAGAGGGTATACAATTCTGCAAGTCAAAAGTAGAAATGAACATTTGTGGTTTTCCAGTGAGGGCCATGCCATTTGTCAGACATCATTATGCACTGGACAGAGTAGGACTGAGGAGATCATACTTGAAATCTTCACACGGTGAGGTTTTGAAACTCGCAAGGGTGTCCTTTGGCTAGTCCTGTATTCTTAAATCTACTTCATCATGGGATCATTGTAAGGATAAAATGGGCAGAGGGGAGGTGAACCATGTATGCCGCTTTGGTATCCATGGAAAAAGTGTAGGATAAAAAATGATATAGAAATAATAATAGCGGTAGCTCAAGAAAAGAGATTTATAGATTAAATTCAAGTCACTGACACTTGAGATTTAGGCTATGAGAACTCTGTAAGTACACTGACCATCAAGTTTCCACCATCAATGGACCTCATTGGGGTACCCCAGGGTCCCTGTACCAGGCAACTTGACATAAGTGGACACAAAGATGGAAGCCAGGATTGGCGGGCCATAATCATGCCTAGGACATGACCTAGCACATGAGATATTGATTTGACAGCTGTGACTACCCACCTACCCTGCCGACATCTGCACACTCTGGAAAATGAACCTGCCTTGCCCCAGGGTAACTTCTTTCAATCTCAAATGCTAATCCCATCAATCTCTCATCTTTCCTTCCTGCATCTCCTTGACAATGACAAGTCCTGCCTTTTACCGTGTGTTACATTCCCTAAATATCCCTAAGTCCTTCCTTGACAATGACAAGTCCTGCCTTTTACCGTGTGTTACATTCCCTACATATCCTGTAATAAAACATTCTCTCTTTTACCCTTGGACTGGTTATTAAGAGCTCTCGTAAAGAGAAAAATCCCCATAAACACTGGTAGCAAGATCTCCGCTATTACCCCACCACTTGCTGAGGCCTGTCATTTGACTAATTTTCCCCAGAAACTAAAGTCAGCTAATCAGCTTCTTGATTCAAAGCTGGTAGAGGTAACAACTTAAGAAATGTTGGATGAACTTGAGCACTCAGAATTAAAATGGTCCTATACATTTGAATGTTTGATGAATAATATCAGACAGAGGCATTATGAATTTAGTGACAAACCATCAAAGTTATTAGATAGGCTTTTCTTGAAGGAGAGAAACAAGAATTTGGTTACTTCACTGCAGTAAATAGCAATATATTTGTTACAACAAAGGATGTCAGCTACATTCAAGTAGTACTATGAGGAGTTACATACTTCAGGAGAATCTAATGTTTCAGTTCATAAATTTCTTAACAATATTAATAATTAGTTTTACAGATATTGAATTGCTGGAAGCTCCTTTTATTACTGAAGTTGTTACTTCAGTACAGTCTTAAAACTAATAAAGCCCCCAGCCCTGATGTATTTATTGCAGAATTTTATAAGACATTTACAGATACAATTAAACATCCTTTAATCACAGTGATTAATGAGATCACAAATTCACAAAAGAGCCCGACTTCTTGGGAAAGAAACCAAAGTAATTGTGATACCCAAACCAGGGAAGAATCACACTGATTTAGATTACATTTTCTTTGCTTAATAATGATCTTAATATCTAGCCTTCAGTAATTACTAAAAAGGTTAAACAGAATCGTATCTTCATATACAGATTCTGATCAGCAAGATTTTCTTGAAAGCAGGAGGATGAAACCTAATATTAAATGAATCTTTAATGTAATTCATAAAGCTAATAATATTGAAGAGGAAGTCATGTTGATCTTTCTAGATGCTGAAAAGGCTTTTGATAGAGTAGGACACAATTACTTGAAGTTCTGGACTGTTTTAATCTTGAAGGAAAATTCACCAGAATCTCTATTAATGGTAGTATTTCAGATTTATTCCCTCTCTTTTGTGGTACAAGTCAAAGATGTCCTGACGAGGATGTATTATCTGACTCTGCACCTGGGTCCAGAGTGCATCCATCTGCTCACTGCCCCCCCTCCCATGGCCAACACATGCAGCTACTATCCGAAAAATACCATGTAAAGGCAGGCACCCCCAGACTTTCGACAGGGGCTCCCTAAAGTAACCCCATGACAGCAGGGAGTGTATAATGGATGTGGGTACTCAGCCAAGGCACCCACTAGCTACGGTGGAAAGATACAGGTGCAGAGCACACCCATGGGCAGGGGTATATTATTCGACTCTGCACCTGGGTTCAGAGCACACCAACCAAGGGCTGAAACATGCAGCAGCCAGTCTCTGGAAGACCAATGTTAAGGCAGGAATCCCCAGACTTTGGAAGGGGACTCCTCAAAGTACCCCTGCAGCAACTGGGAGAGTGTAAAGGATGTGGGTACTTAGTTGAGGCACCCACTAGCTAGGGTGGAAACAGACAGGTGCAGAGGACACCCACCAATGGGGGTGGTTTTTTGACTCTGCACTCGGGTCTGGAGAACATCTATTCATTGCGGTGAATACTTCTACTCAGCTGATAAGCAGAGACATCAGAAAAGCAGACCAGGCATCCCCAGAGTTTTGATGGTGGCTTCCCACAATGATGCCACGGCAGCTTCGTGGGCACCCCAGCAAGACATCCCAGCCAGACACCCCTTCAGGCCCAAACACTCACATTCCCTGGTCTCAGCCCACCCCTACATGAAAATTCTGGATGGTTTTTGACCATTAGTGGAACACATTGTACAGAGAGATCATCTGTTGTGATTGTGAATTGTACAAATGCAATGGAAAGGGGTAGTCAAACAGGGGCATATTTGTACAGGCAAATGTTTGAAGAGGTGAATGTCATTCCATGAGGGAGGTGTTGTGCTATGAGGCAGATGTTGTTTGGTTCATGATGTAGGTGTTTTCTTATGTTGGTTCATGACATAAGTGTAAGCTTATGAAATAGATGCTGTTTGGGTTGGCTGTGGGGCAAGCCCAACCCCACCCATCAGAGGCGGTCATCCTCCCACCCAAGCACCAAGGGTGCAACCCGTGAGCCACATGCTGGATCACACAGAGAGGAGGAGGAATGGGGCAAGGGGACACACGGGGGAGAGGAACAACACTGGGAGGCCTGGATCTTAGTCTGCCAGTCCAAAGCAGGGTGGCCCAGCAGGGGAAGATTGATTTTAAGAAAGGAAAACTCATCCACCCTGGCCATGTCCAGATGGGAACAGTGGGGACTGAGGATGTCTCGCAGGTGGAAGAACATCCGCTCACTCTGGGTACTGGTGGGAGGATATGAGAGAAGATTCATGTTCATGCAAGAGAGGTCAGGCCAGATAACAGCTCCATGCAACCAATAGTCCAGGGAATCGAAGCTGGCATTCTCATTGGATTCAGCGAGGTACTCCCTGACCATAACCTCGGCAGAATCCTCCGCCATAGCATGCCTGCCCCCCCGCACTGCTCCTGATCTCCCACTTAACCACCGACAACCAGTACTGTAACTTCTGCTTCACCTGGCTCTAAGAGGGGTGTGCACCCTCCTCCTCCTCCTCCTCCTCCTCCCCAGCTTCTTCCACCAGCTGTTTCCTCTGGCTATGTTTGCTGGCCTGAAATCTCCAGACCTCTCTGCAGAACTCACATTTCTAGTCCCTGAACTCTGCATTACAGGGAGTGATGCTGCCTTTTATCTGTGGGTTGCACACACAGTCTGGACTCCTGTTCCTTGCAGAGAGGATGCAACCTGGTGGTGATGCCCACCTGCAACCTCTCTGCCAAGGCCCTGACCCACGTTGAGATCAGCCATGCCCTCAGGGCCCAGCTGCAGTGTGGAGGCCAGCATCCAGTCCAGTCCTCTAATCAGGGGGATGACTTGCTCCAGGCTGGCTGTATGGGTGCAGAGCACATCCAAGGTGGCCCGGAATGACTTCAGGACATGCACCATTTGGGAGAGGGTCAGCCAGTCATTGGAGCTGATGCTGAGCTCCTCTTTCCCCTGCAGGATGGTCACAGAGGTGATGACATCCTATGCTGTACTCTTCCCCCCACCATATTTTTTATTTTTTTATATAGACAAACAATTACAAACAAACATACATATACATTGGGGGATTTCCATACATCATTAGATTGGCTATTCAAGGACCTCATACACTATATTTATCTTCTAAATTTCATTTTATATTCTTATGTATATCTTTTGCGAATAGTTAAAAATAAAGAATTCTTATCATCTTCTAGATTGGCTATAAATCTATATATTTTACTTGATATATTCTCCAAATCATTTTTAAAATCTTAACTATATATTTTCAAAATTTTTGTTCAGTCTATCCCGTCCTTTCAACACTTCGTATTTCTTATCTTATCACATCTTCTTCATTGTTAATGTCAGTCCAGTTCTTTATACTTTATTTCAGATATTTTAGTTTTTAAATCATTGAGATTTTTAAGTTTAATGTCTATTGTTGCTTATTTTAGGAGTATTTCTGGTCTTCTTCTGTGTTGCTACCAGTCCAGCTCTTTCTTTTATGTATCTTTAAGTTTTATTCTTGGTCTCCTGTTCTGCCATATGAATTGTATCTTCATTGTCACATGGTCTTTAAAGATATTTTTGCTTCTGAAACATTGAAGTTGGACCTTCTTCACATGCCCATTCCTCTTCTGAAGAGTCCTCTGCCTGTTTAGGGTAAACTGTGCCTGGCTGACCCACGACATTTGGTTCAAGCAACCTACTATTTATGATATTTCTATGCTACCTCTTCAAAGTCCTGCTCAAGGCGACTTATGATTAAAACCACATATTATATTTTGTCTAAAAGGCTAAATTAATATAGCAGGAAAGGAGGCAAAAAACACTACTCATTAGGACAACTGATGTCAATGGGATTACTTTTGTATAAGAGGTGATTTTTGTGGATATTTCAAAATGTTATTTTTAGAATTTCCTACATTACATAGTTAGTGTTCCAAACTACAGTGAATTAAAATGTTACTTTAAATTCCACCATGCAGCATTTTTAGAGCCAAGTTATGAAATCCTGAAGTTAGGAAGTGTTAATAAAAGACAACTCCTAAAGGAAAGGCTACTGGATATCACCTTAAATGAAATTCATATGTAAATACGTGCAAGGCATTGATTTTGTATAATATAGGAAACATATGTTTTTGTTAACTAGTCCTGTAAAATTCCAATGTCTTACAGTTAGCCAATATTCAGAATTGGTTATATTCAAAGGAAATTAATGAGGTGTTAAGGAAGATTGGTTTGTAATTTGAGCAGTGATGACAGGACACTTGATTCCCTCCTGAGAGAATATGGTTAGCCTCTTGCTTCACAGCTGGGGCGAAAATCTTTTCAACATTAAACAAGGGATGCAAAAATGTTAAAAAGGATGAAGTGGCCGCTAAAATTGCTTCAACAAAAAATCTAAAGAGCACTTGTTAATGGTTCCTCATCCTCTTGGAGAGGAGTGACAAGTAGAGTGCCTCAAGGATCTGTCCTGGGAGCTGGTTTGTTCAACATCTTTATATATAATCTGGATGAAGGAATAGAGGGAATGCTTATTAAATTTGCAGATGATACTAAATTGGGAGGGGTAGCAAATATGGTAGAAGACAGAGTCAGGATACAGGATGTTCTTGACAGGCTGGAAAACTGGGCTAAAACAAATAAAATGAATTTCATTGGGGATACATGTAAAGTTCTGCATTTAGGTAGGAAAAATTTAATGCATAATTATAGGATGGAGGAGACTTGTCTTGGCAGTCTTATGTGCGAAAAGGATCTAGGGGTCTTAGTAGACCATACACTGAACATGAGTCAGCAGTGTGATGTGGTAGCTAAAAAGGCAAATGCGATTTTGGGATGTATCAAAAGAAGTATAGTGTCCAGATCATGTGAAGTGATGGTATCGTTTTACTCTGCTTTGGCTAGATCTCACCTAGAGTATTGTGTTCAGCTTTGGTCACCACAGTTTAAGAAGGATATAGACAAGCTGGAACGTGTCCAGAGGAGGGCAATGAAGATAGTAAGGGATCTGGAGACCAAGTCCTATGAGGAAAGGTTGAAGGAGCTGGGTATGTTTAGCCTGGAGAGGAGATGACTGAGAGGTGATATGATAACCATTTTCAAGTACTTGAAGGGCTGTCATATAGAGGATGGTATGGAGTTGTTTTCTGTTGCCCCAGAAGGTCAGACCAGAACCAACACTTTGAAATTAAATTAGAAGAGTTTTCAGCTAAACATTAGGAAGAACTTCCTGACAGTTAGAGCGGTTCCTCAGTGGAACAGGTGTAGTGGTGAAGACTGTGGACTCTAATCTTGGAGAACTGGTTTGATTCCCCACTCCTCCACTCGCAGCTGCCATAGTTCTTACAAGAGCTGTCCTTGAAAGAGCAGTTCTTGAAAGAGCTCTCTCAGTCCCGCCTACCTCACAGGGTGTCTGTTGTGGGGAGGGGAAGGGAAAGGAATTTGTAAGCCACTCTGAGACTCCGAGTGAAGGGTGGGGTATAAATCCAATCTCCTCCTCCTCCTTGGGAAGTGGTAAGCTCTCCTTCTTTGGAGATTTTCAAACAGAGGCTAGATGGCCATCTGACAGCAATGCTGATGGTGTGAACTTAGGCAGATCATGAGAGGGAGGGCAGGAAGGGTTGCCTCAGTGGTTAGTTTTTGTGGTCCTTTCTTACACGCTCAGGGAAATGCTGATCGCCACTTTGGGGTCAGGAAGCAATTTTTCTCCAGACCAGTTTGGCTGGAGATCCTGGAGGTTTTTTGTCATCTTCTGGGTGTGGAACAGTGTTCACTGGTGGTGTGGAGGGGGAGGTATTTGTGTATTTCCTGCATTGTGCAAGGGGTTGGACTAGATGACTTCAGGACTAGATGACCTCAGAGGTACCTTCCAACTCTGTGATTCTATGATTCCACGAATTGTCAGTTTTAATCTACTAAATATGCATTTTGTTCATTATGATACGCTCAATATTACATATGAACAAATAAATATAAACCTGAGGGCAGAATACATGGAATTAGGTGAAGTCTGACCTAGCAATTGCATATGCCAGTCCTTTAGCTGAAGAGAAAGGAAAATAACAGAATGGAAATTAAAAAAATACCTGGTATCCAGGTATTGATCTAACAGACTCCACAACTGCTAGAGAAACTAGATGCTGAATAAAAGGAATCCTTCGTCCCAGTTCAGAAGATAATGGAATGGTGATATGTAGAGTTGATAAGGCAGCTCCCACAGGACTCAGCCACGTATTTCCACCACGACCTTAGACAAAAGGAGCAAATATTCAAAATAATTTACTCATAAATTACATTTTGTCATACAGAAAGTGACGGCATACTGTTCTGTATGGGGACAAGATGACAGCCTGGTAATGGTAAATGGTGTAGATCATCCTGATCTGGGATGACAGTTGAGATGTCATGTGACATGTCACCAGGTACAGGATTGCATCTAGGTTGCATCAGCCTAAGTGATGTCACCATGAGTCAGCAATGGACTCTGATTGGTGCTGTATTGTATATATTGTGTACAGTCTGTAAGCAGTTATTCACTCTGGTGAATGGATTTGTATGCGGAGCACTTTGCTGGACTACCTGGTGATTTGGAGTCTACAAGTGCAGCGCAGGAATGTGTGTAAATATCTCTGTAAATAAAACCACTGTGTATAGTCAGCACCAGCCAACCTGGTTTGTGTATTTACTAGAGCTTCCGACAACGCTGACAGAAAGATCCCACTAATGTTCCACTAATGGTGGCACTTTCCTCCATAGACAGCTCCTTACACTAGAGGAGATGATCACCGTTAGTGGCATGCATCCATGTGATCCAACATCTGTTTAGGGATGCCAGCTTCCAGGTGGGACCTGGGGATCTCCTGGAATTATACCTCATCTGCAGACTACAGAGATCAGTTCCCCTGCAAAAAAATGGATGCTTTGGAAGGTAGACTCTATGGCATTGTACTCCACTGAGATCCTGTCCTCCTCAGGCTCCATCCCCAAATGTCCAGGAGTTTCCCAAACTGGGTCTGGCAACCCTGCCCACCCCATCCTGCACCGGTGGCTGGGGGGACCTGGCAACCCGAAGATCTATTTCACTGAATTATTTGACAACAATAGAAGAAATGTTTCTAAAGGAGTTCCCCAGAATTTTTTTAAAAAATCATATTAGTTTCTGTCCTCAGAAACAGTACCATATCAACTTCTGTTATCAGAAATTTAATTGTTTAAACCTCACTAGACAACCTATCTGGTGTAATACCTATTAGGGGTGTGCATGTGAACATTTCTGATCCAAAACAATGACTGAAATTCCCTGTTTTGTTTCAGGTATTTCCTAATTAACACTAAATAGGGAATTTCAGGCACTATTTATGGAAAAGGAAGTCCTGCCTCACCAGCCTTTTGTAGTTCTTAGAGAAGATTAACAAGCATACAGATAAAGTTGACAAGATACCTCACCAAAGACTTCTGAACAAACGTAGCTGTCAAGCGATAAAAGGACAGGGTTGAAATCTGTTTAAGCAAAAGGAAGCTGAGAGTAGGAATAAGTGAACAGTTCTTGCAGTGGAGCAGCGTGGTTCCACAAGGATTGCTATTGGGACTGCTGCTATTTAGTTTCTATAGAAACGATCTGAAACTCTGCGTGAGCAGTGTAGTGGCTATGTTTTATTTATTTATTTATTTAACTTTTATCCCACCCTCCCCGCCACAGCAGGCTCAGGGCTGCTCACAACCGATTATAATAAATAAAACAACTTCTTAATAAGTTAAGTCTAAAAACAGTACATAAAGTGTAAAATGGCGTTGTAAAATGGCGAGAATCTGACGGTCAGTTAAGCGCATGGTCTGGGTCTTTTGAGCCAGTTTGGTGTAGTGGTTAAGTGCATGGACTCTAATCTGGGAGACCTGGGTTTGTTTCCCCACTCCTCCACATGCAGCTGCTGGATGACCTTGGGCAAGCCATAGTTCTGTCAGAGCTGTTCTTGAAAAAGAGCAGTTTCTCTCAGAACTCTCTCAGCCCCACCTACCTTGCAGGGTGTCTGTTGTGGGGAGGGGAAGGGAAAGGAGTTTGTAAGCTGCTCTGAGACTCCTTTGGGTCGTGAAGGGTGGGGTATAAATCCATTCTCCTCCTCCTCTTCTTCTTCTTGTCAGTGGCATGCAGGCTATTCAAGCATGGATGGCTTCAAGAACCCAGCTGAGCTCTGAGCAGGAGCAGGAGCAGGAGCCAGAGGGGTGAGTGGTTTTTTATTTGCTTTCAGCGGAGAGGATCCAGCTGAGGATTTTGGTGGGAGAACTGGTCTGGGAGTGTGTGGAAGCGCTTGGAGTTTTTGCAGATTCCTGGCTGCTTGAGAGAGGAAAGGGCATTGTTTGACTGTGATTGACTGCAATTGAGAGGAAAAGGAAGGGGCATTGTTTTGCATGTGATTGAGTGCCTGGGTGCATTTGAATAGCTGCTGCCAGCACTCTGCTGGGGGAGGCCTCTATTTAAGGAAGCACCTTGCCAGAGGCACGAGCCTCTGGCACGAGCCGAAGGGCGAGCTAAAGGGCTCTTTGCCCGTGGCTCTTAGCCCAGGGACTCTTGGACTAGGGGCTCTGTGAGACGCCCAAGAAGAGGCAGAAAGTGAAAACCCTAGGCTCCTTGTTTTCCCCATAAAGTAATTTGACTTTGACAAGAAAAAAACACATAAATACAAAGGGATTTAAAAGGGGGATTACATTTACTTATTTTAAAAGAATTATGAAGCCAGAATGCCAGCAGGGGGTTGGGGGCTATCCAGTGTTTTGCACAGAGTGTCACATGTATGACTATCTGCCCACTGGGCAGAAGTCTTGGGTGTGTGCTCGGTGCAAGGAGCTCCTGGTTCTCAGGGAACGTGTGTGCTCCCTTGAGGCCAAGGTGGCTGACCTGGAGAAGCAGAGACAGTCAGCTAGGCGCACAGAAAAGACTCTCGGGGACTTGTTAGCTACGTCCCACTCTGGATCTGGCAGCCCCGCTGCTGTCAGGGAGCATGAGGGTCTAGGGGAAACAGGGCACCGTGCTGAGGATAAGGGGAATGTGCCCTCAGAAGGGACCTCTTCCCCAGCTGGTGAGCGGTTATCCTTTTGCACCAAGGAACCATCCCTGGGCAGGGTGGGAGGGGGGCTCTTGGTAGTGGGTGATTCGATCCTTAGGCAGGTAGACAGCTGGGTGGCGAACCCGCGTACTGACCGTATGGTGACTTGCCTGCCTGGTGCAAAGGTAGCGGACATTACGCGTGTTTTAGATAGGCTGGTAGATAGTGCTGGGGAGGAGCCAGTGGTCGTGGTGCATGTCGGCACCAACGATGTGGGGAAATGCAGTCGTGAGGTCCTGGAGGAGAAATTTAGGCTGCTGGGCAGGAAACTCAAGGCCAGGACCTCCAAGGTAGCCTTCTCAGAAGTGCTACCTGTTCCACGCGCAGGGCCGGAGAGACAGGCACAGATCAGGAGTCTCAATGCGTGGATGAGACGATGGTGTAGAGGGGAAGGGTTCAGGTTTGTTAGGCACTGGGATTCTTTTTGGAACAAGAGGGAGCTGTACAGGCGAGACGGTCTCCACTTGTCCCGAGAAGGAACCAGGCTGCTGGCGCTTAAAATCAAAAAGGTGGCAGAGCAGTTTTTAAACTGAATATTGGGGGAAAGCCGACAGGAGATGAAAAGTCTCTGGTTCGGGTTGGCTCATCTCAGAGAGATGAGGGGGTACCTGTTGCTTTTCTACAGGGAGGTGGATTGAAATTGTCCACTGAGACCATGGCTAGTGACATGGACTGCCTGACAAGGTCTCGAGATTGCAAGAGGAAGGTGGCAGGCTTAACCAGTATGGGAAATTACAGCTGTTTCTATACAAATGCTCGAAGTGTCCGAGGTAAAATCGGGGAGTTGGAGTGCTTGGTGTCAGAGGGAAAAATAGACATTGTGGGTATTTCAGAAACTTGGTGGGATGAGGAAAATCAGTGGGATACGGTGATTCCCGGTTATATATTATATCGGAAGGATAGGGGGGGAAGGGTTGGAGGTGGGGTGGCTCTGTATGTCAGAGAGGGTATAAAGTCCAGAAAGATCGAGAGGCTAAGAGAATTGGATTCGCTTCTTGAAGTTCTGTGGGTTGAAATAGGGGGGCCAAAAGGAAACTTAACACTGGGAGTTTGTTATCGCCCACCGGATCAAAAGATAGAGGAGGATTATAAAATGATGAATGAATTAAAGATAGCAGCTAGACAAAAACACTGTGTCGTAATAGGTGATTTTAACTACCCACACATTGATTGGGTCAATATGTGTTCTAGTCGAGAGAAAGAGATTGAGTTTCTAGACACTCTAAATGACTGTGCTATGGAGCAGATGGTCATGGAACCTACCAGGGGAGAGGCGATCCTTGATTTGGTCCTAAGTAACACTCAAGACCTGGTGAGAGATGTAAAAGTGATTGCACCGCTTGGGAACAGTGATCATAATGTTGTTGAGTTCAACATTTGTACAAATAGGGAATTGGCCAAAAAGACTCACACAACCACTTTTAACTTTAAAAGGGGTAATTTTTCTGATATGAGGGGACATGTGGGGAGGAAACTGAAGGGAAAAGTAGAAAGGGTCAAAACCATTGGGGAAGCTTGGAAACTGTTTAAAACTACAATTCTAGAAGCTCAAATAAAATATATTCCGCAGGTTAGGAAAGGCACAAACAGGTATAAGAAAAAGCCTACATGGTTAACAAACAAAGTAATGGAAGCTGTAAAAGGTAAAAAGGATTCCTTTAAGCGGTGGAAAGCTAGTCACAGTGAGGCTGATAAAACAGAACACAGGCTATGGCAAATAAAATGCAAGTCTGTGGTCAGGCATGCAAAAAGGGAATATGAGGAGCATATAGCAAAAAATGTAAAGACCAACAATAAAACTTTCTTCAAATACATTAGAAACAGGAAACCAGCCAGGGAGGCAGTGGGGCCCTTGGATGACCAAGGGGTAAAAGGAGTACTGAAGGATGATAGGGAAATGGCTGAGAAGCTAAATGCATTTTTTGCCTCCGTCTTCACTGTGGAAGATGAGAGGTGCTTGCCCACTCCAGAGCCGCTGAGTTCGGGAGGGGTGTTGAAAGACCTGAGTCAGATTGAGGTGACGAGAGAGGAGGTCCTAAAACTGATAAACAACTTAAAAACTGATAAATCACCAGGCCCAGATGGCATACATCCAAGAGTTCTGAAAGAACTCAATTGTGAACTTGTGGATCTCCTGACAAAAATATGTAATCTCTCCTTAAAATCAGCCTCCATTCCTGAGGACTGGAAGGTAGCTAATGTCACTCCCATCTTTAAAAAGGGTTCCAGAGGAGATCCGGGAAATTACAGGCCAGTCAGTCTGACGTCGATACCGGGTAAATTGGTGGAAACCATTATTAAGGAAAGAATTAGTAGGCACATAGATGAACAAAACCTATTGAGGCAGACTCAACATGGGTTCTGTAAGGGAAGATCTTGTCTCACTAACCTGTTAATGTTCTTTGAGGGGGTGAACAAACATGTGGACAAGGGGGATCCAATAGATATTGTTTACCTTGACTTCCAGAAAGCTTTTGATAAAGTTCCTCATCAAAGGCTCCTAAGCAAGCTCAAAAATCATGGGATAAAAGGACAAGTCCTTTTATGGATCAAAAACTGGCTAATTAATAGAAAACAGAGAGTGAGTATAAATGGGCAGTTCTCCCAGTGGAGGGGTGTAAGCAGTGGGGTACCACAGGGATCAGTACTTGGTCCACTGCTTTTTAACTTGTTCATTAATGATTTGGAGTTGGGAGTAAGCAGTGAAGTGGCTAAATTTGCGGATGATACGAAGTTGTTCAGGGTGGTGAAAACCAGTGAGGATTGTGAGGCACTCCAAAGGGATCTGTCAAAGTTGGGCGAGTGGGCGTCAACATGGCAAATGGGGTTCAATGTGGCCAAGTGCAAGGTGATGCACATTGGAGCCAAAAATCCTAACTATAAATACACGTTGATGGGGTCTGAACTGGCAGAGACAGATCAAGAGAGAGATCTTGGAGTTGTAGTAGATAACTCACTGAAAATGTCGAGACAGTGTGTGACTGCAATAAAGAAGGCCAATGCTATGCTGGGGATTATTAGGAAGGGTATTGTAAACAGATCAGCCAATATCATAATGCCGCTATATAAATCAATGGTGCGACCTCATCTGGAATACTGTGTGCAATTCTGGTCACCACACCTTAAAAAGGATATTATAGCTTTGGAAAAAGTGCAGAAAAGAGCAACTCGAATGATAAAAGGGTTGGAACACTTTCCCTATGAGGAACGGTTAAGGCGCTTAGGGCTCTTTAGCTTGGAGAAACGACGACTGAGGGGTGACATGATTGAGGTTTATAAGATTATGCATGGGAAAGAGCAGGTAGAGAAAGAGGTACTTTTCTCCCTTTCTCACAATACAAGAACTCGTGGGCACTCCATGAAATTGCTGAGCGGTCGGGTTAGAACGGATAAGAGGAAGTACTTCTTCACCCAAAGAGTGATTAACACTTGGAATTCACTGCCACAGGAAGTGGTGGCGGCTACAAGCATGGACGGCTTCAAGAGGGAATTAGATAAGCATATGGAGCAGAGGTCCATCAGTGGCTATTAGCCACAAGGTATAGATAGGGACTCTGGGGCAAGTGATGCTCTGTCATCTTGGTGCTTGGGGGGGGTCAACAGTGGGAGGGCTTCTAATGTCCTGGCCCCACTGGTGGACCTCCTGATGGCACTGGTATTTCTGGCCACTGTGGGATACAGAGTGTTGGACTGGATGGGCCTTTGGCCTGATCCAACATTGGCATCTCTTATGTTCTTATGTTCTTATGTTCAAGAGGGAGCAGAGATCGATCAGTGGCTATTAGCCACAAGTTATAGATAGGAACTCTCAGCCTGGGGCAAGTGATGCATTGTATTCTTGGTGCTTGGGGGGGGGGGCAACAGTGGGAGGGCTTCTACTGTCCTGGCCCCACTGGTGGATCTCCTGATGGCACCTGGTATTTTTGACCACTGCGTGAGAGTGCTGGATATTGGCTTCTCTTATGTTGTTATTAAGACTAGGGTGATTCATTTTAGGAAAGATAGTCACTCGGATGCTAAAATAATACAACTTTGTTTTTGTTGGCATGGGTATCCTCAGGCACCCTAAAAGGTGCAGAGTGGCATTGTTAGGGTGATGCAAGGCTTGAAAAAATCTGGGCAGGTAGTGAAGCATCTGTTAAGCTGTTACTTTTTCTCTATTGGAAAATCTTGCTTTCACAGTAAACCTCCAAGGACCAATGCTAGGAAGCAACATCAGAGGAAGACCTTGGCCTCTATGCCCTGTTTATTGGACCTCCAGGGCAACTGATTGGCCACTGCATGAAACAAGATAGTGGACTAGATATTCCACTGTCTGATCCACCAGGGCTAATCTTAATCCTACCAGAAAGGGGTAGTGATGGTGGAATTTACATTTTTTGTTTGAATTCTGGGGGAAATGCAATAGCCCTACAATGTAAGTGCTTTCTAGAAGAAGGATATTTAGGCTTCCTGAAACATGTGAGAAACAAAGGCACATTCAATGCATAAAAAGACAATGGTTAGAAAAAGTCTCACTAACAATGCAGGATGGTTTTAAACTAGTGACCTATAATTCTTTTACTATTATTACTCAAAATTACAACAGATAGGAAGAAATGAACTTGTACAGTTTACATTTAATCAAATACTTTTCTCTCCATTAACACTGGAATTGTACTAACTTACCTTTCCCTTGAGTTTGCTGAACTGCAACTGCTATCAGACCTGTTTCCTGGGGCACCTTGAACATCAACCTTCAAATTATTTAAAAGAGAACATGCCTGTTAGAACAGTGTGTGGTTTTCATAAAAATACTGGAGAGATTTCCTACAATGTTAGCAATGGTCCAGGTATAGCTAAAAATACAGGAGAAAATTCAAATAGGAGAACTGACTGAAAAACATTCAAATGAAATATCAAACCTACAGTGATATTCAAGAAATCAAGATTTATTTGAGATATATATCTGCATTTCTACATTTCTTTCTGAAGTACTTGTTCTTATCGGAGTATGGTATTATCTTAAGTGACAACCAGCAATTTCAAACATTTGTTTCTACTTACAACAAATTCACATTCATACTAGAAGTACAGCAATAGCAGCAGTTTTTGATTATTTGGAAAACCCGTATGGTGGCAATAAAGCAGTTTAAAAGAAACACTATCCCTTGAGAACTAATTATGATTTAACTATAGTAAATAAATCTACACCTTCTGAGAACTCTAGAGAACATTGGCTTATTTTAGGCTCGTGTTTTACTTTTAAAATATTTTTACTTAAAAGAATACAGCTTTCCTTCTGGGGTAAATAGAAATTAATGTACACTCTAACACTATCAAAGTTAACTTGAATCTTGTTGCAAGAATATTCTTTAAACTGCCTTAAGAATAATTAAGTAATCATTAAAATCTTTTTCATTTCCCTTTCAGGCTTAAGAGGGAATTTATTTAATTCTTAATTAAATTTAAGAAATAAATTTACTAGATATATTTGTCAGAGCTTTAATTTTTAAAAACTGAGAAGTCAGGAAATACCATTTTTAATAGAGAGGCCATAGAAATAATGCATGCAGCATAAACTTGTAGAGGAATAATTAGTACACAAAGTATTTTTCTCTGAAGAACAGAAGATTCGCATGCTCCAAAATAACAGAATGAAGAAGTGACACTGAAGAGAGGCAAAGATACAAGCAATTGTGCAGCCTCTGCTGCTCACTAGAAATCAATAGTTGTTTCCAGTCTTTATGGGAGGGAAGGCAGCATGGTATAGTCCAATCTAGTCAGACCTCAGAGGCTGAGTAGGGTTGGTGCTTGTATGGGAGACTGCCAAGGAACACTTTGCAGAGGAAGGCAATGGCAAACCATCTCTGCTTCTCACTTGCTTTGCAAGACCCTTACTGGGGTTGCCATCAGTTGGTTGTGACTTGACAGCACTTGCATACATATGGCCAGGGCTATTTTTGGACAGGAACGCACAGGAACGGAGTTCCGGCTGGCTCCTAAGTTGGCCACGCCCAGCAGGAACTCATTAGCATAATAGGCCACACCCAACAGCAGAAACTCATTAGGATTGGCTACATTAGGGGTGTGTGGCCTAACATGCAAAGGAGTTCCTGCTACAAAAAAAGGCCCTGGGTTTTGACAACAAACAAGGTAAACAGAATAACAAGCAAAAGGTGGGTGTGGCTGGATGACCAGACTTCTGGTAACACGTGGGTGCGGCCTAATGTGCTAATGAGCTGTGTTGTGAGGGGTGTGGCCCAATATGCTAATGAGTTCCTGCTGTTGGATGTGGCCTATTATGCTAATGAGTTCCTGCTGGGCTTTTTCTACAAAAAGAGCCCTGCTATGGCCAGTCTGTACTGAAGATGTTTCCTAATCCACTTCTGCAAACGTTTATTTATCAATTTATTTTTCTCCAACTTTTCCACAAAGAACTCAAGGAATTGTTCATCATTCTCCCTCCTCCACTTTATCTTTACAACAACACTTTGAAGTAAGTTACTCTGAGAGAGGGTGACTGGGCCAAGGTCATAGTGAGTTCCATGGCTGAGTAGGGATTTGAATGTTCTAGATCCTTGTCCAGTATGCTAGCCAATGCACCATGCAGTTACGTCTAGATAAATGGGGCATAAAGAGAACACATGGAATAACTCCGGATGTTTTTAAACCCTGTGGTTCAGTTTACATAACTGTAAAGTTTTTAAAAAGGTACATTAGTAACTACAAATAATGAACCACAGGAGTGGTAATACAAAGTTTTCTCAGATTAGCAGTGAAAGTAATTTTCATAAGCAATTGCCAGAAGATCTCTTTGCCAGTCCTACTTCCATTATACATTAAATTCAGTTTGATAATTGTTTCTCTTGGCCACCATGAATTGCTTATTGAGACCATCTAGCATCAACCCTAGCTGTTAAAATATATTTTGCTTGTGTTGGGAGTTGGAATAATGAGGAGGTTCTTTGTATCCATTTAAGCTTAATATTGTCTTCTAGAAACTTTGCAGGTTAGAGCTAAATTTTGTTTCAGCTTCAATATCGCATTTATGTTACAGAAAAGGAAAACTAATTTAAATTTGGAATTGGTGCTATGGACAGATTATAAATATAGCTGAAGCAACTGGCATTCCCTCTAGCCTCTGTCTAAGCTCCAAATAACGGGCAAGTAGTATGTTTGGGGAAGAAATATCAGGAGAGGAAAATAGTTACGACATCAAACACAGACCTCTAGAACAAAGATGTGATTAAAGAAACATATGCAAGGAGTTGCTAAGTGTTTTGGCTGGAGTTACTAGAGTATGCTAAATGACAAGACTGAGTTCCTGTGCTAGTGAAGGCCAAGAAGAAATTCTGTAAGGAGGGAAACAACATAGAGAAGTTGCTAATACCTAGACTGAGACTACTGGAGACAGAGAGATTTATTTATGCTATCTGAGATAACTCTAGGGGCATTACCACACAGTTATAAGACCATAATAAAGTGATTGTGTTATTTTACAACGTTGTCTCTAGGATTTAGAAAATAAATCTGAGCTTTTTGTAACAGAAAGAAGCAATTGTAAACACTTTTACACACTTAACTATGTGTACACCTTTATCTGTGTTGATAAAGAAAATGGAAAAGAAAAAGTAGAATCTTTTTCTGAATTAACCTTAGTAGGGAAAACAGAAGCTTTTGAGCCTCGCAGAACTAGTATTCAGACAGAAGAAAGAGGAGAGTGCAGTGAGTCAACATAGTTTAAATTTACACTTGCAAATATTATTATTGTATCTGGTTAGGCAGTTAATATATATTTGGTAACCAAATGGCTTAATTTTGTGAAATTGTAACTGTAACTGTAATGTATGTTGTATTTTGTATTATATCCTATTTGCTTATGATTTATGGGTCTATGAGCAATAAAAATGAATGGAATGGAATTATTCTATCTGGTGGCACAAGCCAGAGCTTCCAGACACACATCAAAAATAAGAGGAAAAGAAGAGAAGAAGAGATTGAATTTATACCCTACCCTTCACTAACCAAAGGAGGCTCAGAGTGGCTTACAATCTCCTTTCCCTTCTCCCCACAACAGACACCCTGTGAGGTAGGTGGGGCTGAGAGAGCTCTTTAGAGAACTGCTCATGAGAGGAACAGCTCTGAAAGAACTTGTAACTGACCCAAGGTCACACCAGCAGCTGCATGTGGAGGAGTGGGGAATCAAACCTGGTTCTCCCAGATTAGAGTCTGTGCTCCTAACCACTACACCAAACTGGCTCCCAGTTTGGAGTAGAGAAAGAGGGAGCTCTTGTCTAGTACCCCTCTCAAGGGAGAATGACTCATGGCAACTCTATGAGAGCCAGTTTGGTGTAGTGGTTAAGTGTGCGGACTCTAATCTGGGAGAACCGGGTTTGATTCCCCACTCCTCCACTTGCACCTGCTGATGTGACCTTGGGTCAGTCACAAGCTCTGGCACAGCTGTCCTTGAAAAAGAGCAGTTTGTGTCAGAGTTATCTCAGCCCCACCCACCTCACAGGGTGTCTGTTGTGGGGAGGGGAAGGGAAAGGAGTTTGTAAGCCGCTCTGAGACTCCAAGTGAAGGGCGGGGTGTAAATCCAATCTCTTCTTCTAATATCCTCCAAAATGTCCTATTGTCAACATCCTCAGGTCTTGCAAACAGGGCCACAGCATCATTTATTGAGTCAATCCATCTTATGTTGGGTCTTCCTCTTTTCCTGCTGCCTTCAGCTTTTACTAGCAGTATTGTCTTTTCCAGTGACTTTGGCCTTCTCATAATGTGACCAAAGTACGATAGCTGTAGTTTAGTCAGTTTAGTTTCTAGGGAGTTGTCAAGCTTGATTCGATCTAGAACCCACTGATTTGCCTTTTTGGCAGTCCACGATATCCATAAAACTCTCCTCCAACACCACATTTCAAATGAATAATCTTCTTTCCGTCAGCTTTCTTCATTGTCCAACTTTCACACCCATACACAGTAATGGGAATGTTATGACATGAATTAAAGTGATCTTAGTCACCACCAGTGACACCTTCTTACACTTAAGAATCTTTTCTAGCTCCTTCATAGCTGCCCTTCCCAGTCTCAATCTTCTTCGGATTTCTTGGTTGCAGTCTCCGTTTTGTTGATGATGGAGCCAAAGAATAGAAAATCTTGAACAATTTCAATTCATTCATCATCCACCTTAAAGTTGTGTAATTCCCCACTCATCATTACTTTTGTCTTCTTGATGTTCAGTTTTGACACTTTCTGCTTTCGCCTTCATCAGGAGATGTTTCAGGTCTTCACTATCTTCTGCCAGTAATGTGGTGTCATCCGCATAACTCAAATTGTTAGTGTTCCTTCCACAAATTTTCAGTCCACCTTCATCCAAACCTAATCCATCTTTCCTTATGATATGTTCTACATACAGATTGGATAGATAGGGAGATAAAATACATCCTTGTCTGACACCTTTGCCAATTGGAAACCATTCTTCATATTCTGTCCGAAGAGTAGCCTCTTGTCCAGAGAACAGGTTGCGCATCAAAACAATCAGATGCTGTGGCACACCCATTTCTTTTAAAACCAGTCATAGTTTTTTATAATCCACACAGCCAAAAGCTTTGCTGTAATCTATGAAACTGATTTTCATCTGAAATTCTCTCTTATGCTCCAGTAACAAATGTAAATTTGCAACATGATCTCTAGTGCCTCTTCCTTTTCTGAATCCAGCTTGAACTTCTGGCATTCTCTTTCCATTTATGGTAACAAT